TAAGCAGACCATCCATCCCAAGCACATGCTTTAGCCAGGCCAGGCCCCAGAAGCCTCAGCCACACAATGCTTGTCTCCGCAGGTGCCAGGGAGGGGCTATGGCTGCACATTGATGCTGCCTATGCGGGCACTGCCTTCCTGTGCCCCGAGTTCCGGGGCTTTCTGCAGGGCGTCGACTATGCCGACTCCTTCACCTTCAACCCTTCCAAGTGGATGATGGTGCACTTTGACTGCACTGGGTTCTGGTGAGTGGGACCGGGGAGCTTTGAGGGTGCGGGGAAAGCTTGCTTCCTGAAAGGGAGAGGCCGCAGCGACTAATGGCTCCTTGGAATCCCACAGGGTCAAGGACAAGTACAAGCTGCAGCAGACCTTCAGTGTGAACCCCGTCTACCTCAGGCACGCCAACTCAGGGGCAGCCACGGACTTCATGGTGAGTGGCCGGGGATGGGGATGCAGACAATGCAGAGGTGGGGCGGGGGAGTGGGCCTCTGAGAGGACCCTCAGGCCTGAGCCTGGCTGCGCCAGCCCACCAACTGTTTTCTGCCTGCCGGCTTTCACCTGCACTCTAAGAGCTCCTCCCATCACAGGGCATCCAACTTCTTCCCTAACTGGTTTCTTTTACGTCTTCTTTTTTAATCAGTTTATTAGGGTCTCATACAACTCACCCCATCCATCCATCCATCAGTTGTGTAAAGCACACGTGTACATTCATTGCCCTCATCATTCTCAAAACATTTGCTCTCCACTCAAGCCCCTGGCATCAGCGGCTCCTTTTTTCCTCTCCCCTCCCCCATTTCCCCTTCCCTCATGAACCCTCGGTAATTTACAAATCACTACCAGTGCAAATCATATCTTGCACTGTTCGACGTCTCCCCTATCTCACTTTTCTGTTGTCCATCCCCCAGGGAGGAGGCCATATGTAGAACCTTGTAATCGGTTCCCCCTTTCCACCCCACGCTCCCTCCACCCTCCTGGTATCGCCACTCTCAGCACTGGTCCTGAAGGGATCATCTGCCCTGGATTCCCTGTGTTTCCAGCTCCTATCTGTACCAGTGTACATCCTCTGGTTTTGCCAGATTTATAAGGTAGAATTAGGATCATGATAGTAGTGGGGGGTGGGGTGGGGGGGGGTGAGGAAGCATTATAGAACTAGAGGAAAGTTGTATGTTTCATCATTGCTACACTGCACCCTGACTGGCTCGTCTCCTCTCCATGACCCTTCCGTAAGGGGATGTCCAATTGCCTACAGATGGGCTTTGGGTCTCCACCCACACTCCCTCTCATTAACAATGATATGATTTTTTTGTTCTTTGATGCCTGATTGTTTCAACACCTTGTGATCATGCAGTCTGGTGTGCTTCGTCCATGTGGGCTTTGTTGCTTCTGAACTAGATGGCTGCTTGTTCCCTTCAAGCCTTTAAGACCCCAGATGCTATATCTTTTGATAGCCAGGCACTCTCAGCTTTCTTTGCCACATTTGCTTATGCACCCGTTTGTCTTCAGCGATCGTATCAGGGAGGTGAGCACACAATGATATGATTTTTTGTTCTTTGCTGCCTGATAACTGATCCCTTCAGCATCTCATGAGCACGCAGGCTGGTTTCTTTTACGTCTATGTCCTGCTGTGCTGCTTCGTGCTTATCCTGCCCTTGTTTTGATCCTGTGGTTTAATTTCCAAATCCACAAAGAAACTCCCAGAACACTGACGCTGATGCCATCATTGCCATGACCCTTGGAATCTTTCCTGCGGTGCGGACCAGTGCCCTGGATGTAGTTTTCAATAGGAACCCAGCCCTGCTCAGGGTGAACCCAAGTATGGTAGCATCTTGAGAGAGAAGATTTAGGTTCTTAACCCCAGGGTTCAGGAGTCACCAAAAACCAGAGCCACAGTCTCTGATGCCAGGGAAGCTTCCTCTGCCCTTCCTCCCAAAGCCTCTGTGTGGAAGAGAGAGAAATCTTTTGTGGATGAGCATTGTCTTGTTCTTGGCAGGGGGTACCTGCCAAGCCCTGCTTATTATGGAAAGGGCCCCCGAGGAGGCCTGAGAATAACTCAAGTTCAAGAATAGGCATGTCAGCCTTCATGAATCCAACTTCCTGTTCCAATAGGAAGTGCTAGCTGGAACCCCACTCTGGACCAGCTAGTGACGGAAGAGAAACAATGGCAGATAAAGGCCAGCTCAAAAAGAAATTGAAATTTTGTCCCTGTGCCCCCTTAATTTGTTGCTGAAATAAGATGATCATTTGGCCATAAGCATCTAGAAGCCAAGATGATTTAAAGGAAACCTTCTATTGTAGTAGTCTGCTGGGAGTGCCTTTGCTTTCTGGTCTACCCCTTCACTCCTCTCAGAACGTAGGCTTGGCAAGGGATGCAGGTGACAGGTTTACCTCTGGGGTTTGGTGCCCTCTGCTGGTCAACAAAATTTCAGGTTGGTCCTCAAGCTGGGATCAAAGGCTTCGAACTTCTATGCAGGAGAAAGGCTGCCAGTGCACAGGGGGGCAATGTCCCAACTGTGCCCAGGTCAGGAAAGCCAGAGGTGAAGGATGGAGGTGAGGACACTGAGGATTTGGCAATTCCCTGGAAAGGTCAAAAAATATTCCATGGGGCAAATATTTGTTCGCAGTCAACAGAGAACCGTGGCAGAAGTTTCCTGACCTTTGAGAGAAGGGTCATTGGAAACCATATCACTCCTTGACCATAACAGAGCTCCCTGAACATATTTTCCAAGACCTTGGCTCTATCTTCAGATCTGAGAACATGGGTCTGACATCTGTGGTGACCACAACCTTGACCCTTCCATTCCTCTGTATTTGGTCACTTGGAACAAAGCGTCAATGTTAGTGTCATGGTACCTAAGTCCGAGACAGTGGTTGAAATGCCCACCTGAAATCTGAAAGTTGAGTGACACTGCCTAACGGCCTAGGAATGTCCTAGTCACAGGTGAGGCCCTGACGCTGGGATTCAATACTGGCTGGCTGGCCCCTAGACGGACGGAACTCGGTGGTAGTTGCTTCCGGTTCCACTCATGGCGGCCTTGAGTGTCCTCTTCAGGATCAGTGGTGTGTTTGAGCTGACGAATGTAGTGCCTTCCAGGTTCAGCCACTGTATTCTATTGGACAGTGTTCTGGGATCACCAGGCCTTTCTTCCTGGCCTGTCATCGTTAAAAGGTGATCCAGCTGCTGTTTGAAATATTGGCAGCAGAGCTTCTGGCACCATTGCAACCTCCGCAAGCAGCCGAAGCAGGACACGTGGACTGCGTGTCAACTGCAATGTGACAAACACTCTGAGCCGTGCTGGCAGTTATACTGTGATTTATAGCCCACATCTCAGCATGGGTAGAGTCAACCACCACTGCCCCTCCTCCTGAAGCCCCTGACATCTGTTTCCCTTGAACCACAGCCGGGAGGGGTGCGGGCTGGGGGTGCGCTCTCTTGGGTCTTGGATGAGCCACAGAGTCCCCACTGCCCGAGCCACACAGCTTGTGAGCTAGCTGGAGGGGACTCCCGTGTCTGAACTTTCAACCACTTTACATTTTGAAGGGACATAAAAATAGAACTTTATTTTTTGCTAGTGAAGGAATGTAGGTTCATCTAGTGAAAAAAAAAATAGGCCCTGCCTTGCATTTTGGGAACCCTGGTGGTATAGTGGGCTAGGCATTGCAAGGTCAGCAGTTTGAAACTACCGACCACTCTGTGGGAGAAAGAGGAGGCTTTCTACTGTCCTTCAGGGTTACAGTTTTGGAAACCCACAGAGGCAGTACTACCCTGCCCTTGTAGGGTCGATATGAATCAGAACGAACTTGATGCAGGGAGTTTGAGAACTTGACTTTCAGGGCAGGGATGAAAGGTTGCAAGCAGCACTTAGAGCAAACTGCCCTTTCCTGAGGTGTGGGGCCACAGGCCTGCCCCACCACCCCCTGGTCCTACTCTCCCTCCAGGCTCTATTGGCCACCTGCCTCAGTTGTTTGGTCACAGCGGGCAGCCTCTGGGTAATGTGCTTGCTTCCTCCTTAGCAACAGCTCGGGGAGTCATGGTGACTGCCCATCCCTGGAGGCCTGGGAAAGCAACAGAGAATGCCCAGGAGCCCGCCAGGAGCGGGCACCCTGTCTCTAACTGTGTTTCTTTGTTTCCAGCACTGGCAGATTCCCCTGAGTCGGCGGTTTCGCTCAATTAAACTCTGGTTCGTGATTCGGTCCTTCGGGGTGAAGAATCTTCAGGCTCATGTCAGACACGTAGGTAGCATGCAGGTTGTGGGGCAGAGCCCGCGTGTCACTGTTTCTAACGGGGGGCAAGGCTGCACTGTGCTTCACACACCTGCCCAAGGGACCTGTGGCATCTGGCTCAGGTGTCTGAGACTGCTCTCGGGCTCCTGGGGTTGATTATTCAGGTAGCCCGTCTTTGTTAGCTAGAGGAACACGGCCCAGACGTGATGCCAAGGGCTGTCTCGTCATGTCTTCTGATGCCACCGAGCCCTGGGACCGATTGCCAGAGAGAGCGAGAGAGAGAGAGAGAGAGAGAGAGAGAGAGAGAGAGAGAGAGAGAGAGAGAGAGAGAGAGAGAGAGAGAGAGCGCGAGCGGTGTGGCCCACCTAGCATCACATCTTTTAAATACTTTTTCAGGTTGTCATGGTGATCTGAAAAGCGCACCCCCGGTACAGCCGTAGGAGTCCCTGAGTGGTGCCAATGGTTAATACTCTCAGCTGCTATCCAGACGGTGGCGGGGGGTGGTGGGGTGGGGGGGGCTCCAGTTCACCCACGGGTGCCTCAGAAGAAAGGCCTGGTGATTTACTTCTGAAAATCAGCAAATGAAAACCCCGTGGAGGACAGTTCTACTCTGACACACACGGAGTCGTCATGCGTTGGAATCAACTTGATGCCAATTAAAAAAAAATCATGGTCCTGTCTGGAACATAGGTCTCCAGACAGAGAGATAACCCCAGTCTGGCACAGACACCCCCACCTTGTGCCCACACATAGGTATTGAAAGCCTATTTAGTACGATGTGTTTTATTTCCACTCAGTGAAAACGAGATGATTGTGCTGGGAAAGGGGCGGAGAGGAACGGAGACCAGGGATGGTCTCGTCTCTGTATTCTTCTGGGGAGGAAGAGGGCTAACTCCAGGAGCTTCAGCTCCGGCCGCTCACTGATCCATCCACACCCCACGTGCCCTGAGCACAAGAATCCGCTCTGTCTTTGCCCCTGTTCTTCGTGGAGAAGGCCCCACTTCCGATTCTTCCCCTTTCCCTGCCTTTATCTTCAGTCAAAATGTATGAAGTAGCCCAGGAGCCGAATTTACCCTAAGTCCTACCATAGTAAAGGATAGAATTAAAAATAAGCATTTCAGGGGAGTGATTTCTCTCTTTCCATCATTATTCCCACTTGCATAGTACTTTTGATTTAAAAAAAAAGTAAGCTATGCTTTAAAATTAGATACTTACAACTGTGCTTGGGGGTGTGTGGGTTTGCCGTGGTCAGCCCTGTGCTGCAGAGGAGGTTCAGAGATGGTAATTGACCTGCTCAAGGGGAGGAGGCCTGGGACTTTACCCCTTGCTCCCCAATTCCAAATGCTGTTTCCAGAGTCCTGGGCTCTTGGGGTGGTTAGGTAAGCCCAAGTTCTGAATTTCTCTGTAGAGAACAGGCTCTGAGTTAGAATGTTTAGTTCTCTCCCATTTACTATTTGGTGAGCTTAGACAAATTACTTACCATGTCTGTGCTCGACTTTCTAGTTTATAAGATAGAAAAATGATAATAAAAATGATCAAACATTTAATGGAGGGTTACATGAAATAACATAAAAGGGTCAGTCAAAAAGTATTGCTACCGATCATACAAACCTTTAAGATACCAATATATCAAAAAATGATAAGCTATTGTTTCTTGGCATATCCTCCACTTAGACCTATGCAGGTCTGCAGGTGCTATTTCCTTCTCTGAAGAATTCTGGGCTCTTCAATTTCTACCATGCCCAAATGGTACTTTGGCATCCCCGAAAGACTCGAATCATGTTCATTTTACGTGTGCTTCAAGTTTGGGGGCCAACAAGAAGTCTGAAGGCGCACGATCAGGGCTGGAGGGTGGAGAGAGCGTTGCTACCCTGCCAGCAGGAGCAGGTGCTTTGTCCTGATGGCAGATGATTCCTGAGCCCAGCATTCCTGGTCTTTTCCTCACCGAGGCAGCCTTCAATTTTCTTAAAGCTTCTTCCCAATACTGCCCCCTCCCCTGTCATAATCCTGTGTCCTTGGAGAAAATTTATCTAGAGGACCCCTTTGGGGGTTCCCCCCAATAGTCTCCATAACCTTCTGAGTGGACCTCTGCTTTAAAACATTGTGGCTAATGGGTCCCCTTAGAAGCCTTTGTTTGGATGGGACCTTGTTTCCTGGATCATATTGGTAAATCCAAGATAGGATTTGTTATGTAAGACACTTTCATTAGCTTTGCGTTTGCTTAAAGCACAGGTTTTAAGGCAAGCCCAGCTCTGGGGGCTGGCTGATCTTTGTGCAAGCCTTTTCATTTCCGTCTTTGGGAAGGCACCCTCACAAGACTAAGGCCAGCGTCTTACTGTGCAGGCTGGTGCTCGGTCATCCACTCATCGCAGAGCACCCAAACCCAACCTCGCTGCCATCAAATGATCGGGACTCCTCGCGGCCCTGTTGGGCAGGATACAACTGCCACCTGTGGGCTTCTGAGACCGTAAATCTTTATGGGAACAGAAAGTTCCCTCTTTCTCCCTTAGAGTGGCTGGTGGTTTAGAACTGCTGACCTTGTGATGGGCAGCCCAGAGTGTATCCACTATACCACCAGGGCTCCTGCCATCCACAATAGGGATCAGCAAACTTGTTCTGTGCATACATTGTGACCTTGCAGGGCCTATAGTCTGCTACCCTACTCAGCATGCTGTTGTCGCACAAGCATGACCCTGGATGATTTATAAACAAATGTGCAGGACTGAGTTATCTCAGCCCCACTTTTTAAATTTCTCTGTTATAAAGCTTTATCCCCCCCTCCAAATATTATTGGCACATAATTTACGTGTCATGCAATTCAATTTGTTCAATCGTTCAATCATATTAAGGAGAATTGTACAATCATTACCACAAAAATTTTAGAAAGCTGCCTCCCCCATGGTTAAATCCCTTTTGAAATGAGTTGTGCCTTCACATATCAGTTCTAGTGTCTCTCTCCCCCCTCCTGCCTTCATTTGTTTAATTCCCGAAATCCCCTTTCCCTTCCTATCACCCCACCCCATCCCTGCATCCTCTATAAGCCCTGTATCAGTTATTATCACTATGCATCCACTCCTCCCGTGCCTCAACCGGGAACCACAACAGAAACAAAAAACAGAATCAAAATAAGGTGGTAAGGATAACATAATAATAATATAAAGAAAAAAATACAAATAATGAGGAAGAAAGAAAAGACCCCCATCAATATGTAAAAATCCAGGGAAGCTATTTGTGTCATGGAACAAGTAAGAGATACTTGCACCCAGCACAAATTCAGGTCAGATCTATAGGGAGGTCACCTGGCTGAGTATTGGGTTCGATCCAGCACAGTCAAGCTTACAATGCTCTCTGCCTGATAGGAAGGCTGTTCGAGACTTGCCTGTGGCTAGAATGGATCTGCTCAGTCTGAGCAGATACTCTGCAGATGGGTTTGGGTTCCTACGGTCCTCCATAACCTTCAACAAATTGGGTGTTCATAATTTTTGCTCTCAGACTTTTCCCTTTGCTATATTCAAATTTCATAATTGTCATCTTTGCATCACAGAAGCTGGTGTGCTTCTTCTGTGTGGACTTGGCGGATTCTGTGAGAAAGCTTTATTTGCAAAAGCAGTTGGGAGCTTGGAGTTGGCCTGTGGGCCCTAGTTCGCTCAACTCTGACCTTGAATGGTGTCCTGCAGGTGGAGGAG